TTTAACCACTAATTCACTGGATCGAGTTTGTACATAGAAGTCCCTACTTCTTACTTCTTTTATTGAATTTATTAAACACTGTTGTTCATTTATGATTTCAAATTGTAGAATTAGCAAGTTATATCAGCTTTTTGAAACCTACATTTATCTGTTCAAGTTGAATGCTAATTAAGATCCCCATTGTTTCTGTGTCAGAGAAATACTACTCAGATTATAAAAATCAACTACAGAATTACATTTATTTTATATATACTAAATAGCTGTGAAGATCGGAGAAGACTAATTAAAGTTTTTAATTCATTTTAATTAAAAGTAATTAATTAAATTTTGGGGGTTGGTAAGATTTTTTAATGTTTTTGAAAGTACACTCTTATTCTCATAAAGGCTGCATTTATTTGATCAAACAGTAAAAACTGTTATACTGATAAATATATATTTTTAAAAAAATTTCTATTTTAATATATTTTAAAATATCATTTATTCCAGTGATGGCAAAGCTGAATTTTCGGCAGCTAGTACGCCAGTCTTAAGTGTCACATGATCCTTGGTTCAAGAAACATTCTGTATATTTATATATAGCGCAAGTAACAGCATTTGTTATTTTATTATTCCAAAAATAAACATGCATCATTATATTACTGTCATTGTCACTGTCCATTGCCTTCACTGTTACTTATGAATTCAAGTGGCCTTGCCTTTAAATTAAAAGTATTCGTTTTTCAGAGCCCAAACTTTTGAATAGTAGTTTAAAATGTACAGTTATTATTAATATTGAAGCCATATCCTGCGCTACACAGATTTATGTCCAAGATTTTTGTCCAATCAAATGCATTTAAATAATGCTTTTTTTGCTCTTAATGGTTAGGCTTTTGGTTAAGCTTAAGTTACAAAAAGAAGACATAAATAGGAAGTGCCTATTTGTATGGCATGCGTGTGTGTGTGTAACCATACCTCTGCCTTTATGCGGTTGTCTCCGTAGCAGAGGTGCTGTATATACGCTGCAGCATTGGCCTGGACAGAAGGGAAATGATGCTGCAGCATTCGGATTACCTCTGGCAGCTCGGGGTCTCTCCAGGCAAACTCTCTAACCCCCCCACAGGCACAGAGAAAACAGATGTCAAACACACACACAAATATGAAAAATGTCCACATTTGACAAAGAAATGTTTGCAGATTTGAATAAAATATACATAATCACTTGTGTTTACATGTTGCATCAGGACAAATAACTAGCCACATTAAAAAAAAAATCAGTCCAGCTTCAATTTTTTTTCCCAATCGCATTTGTCATTAAAATATGCACTGCAAATGTGAATGAGCACTCAGGCGATCTGGTTTACATTTCCTGACAAGCTCTTTTTCTGTCTGCAAAACAAACATGCCCAGAAATATGATTACAAAGCAACGTACACACAAAAGTAGTGGAGGTTCAACAAATAAAATAAGTTGGAATAATGCAGCAAAAAGGGAAGAAACATGCTGGGTTTCATTTACAAGCAAAGTTTCCACGTTTTAAATGTCAGTGACTTCAAATGTGGCCCTAAATCATTTTGGAAGCTTTCTGCAATGTTTTTGGAATCACTGGGTTCAGCTCTTCACCTGGGATCTTTGTAAACACTGTCTATGGAAGGCGAGCGCGTGACGGTGTTGTCGACGGCAGCTGCATGTCTGGTGTAGTTCGGGTCGGTTTGGTGGTAATGGGCGGGACGATAGGTGTCAGAGTGCGTTGCCACGGAGCCCACTGAGAACAACCCTCGCTGGAACCTCAGAGTGCTACACTGACTAGTGGTCCTTTGTAAAGTACCAAACCCTGAGAGAGAGAGTGAGCAGTGCAGACATTAAGATGAACACTGTGGAAATGTCAGAACTCATTCACTGAGTTTGCAAAGATAGCAGTGGTGCATGAAGGACATTCGTCACATACCTGTATTGTTTCTGGAGATAGCGCTCTGGGAGCCGTGCGTGGGGCTCTGGTACAGAGGGTTCTGGAAGGTTCTGTCTTCATAGACTGGCGTGACGTGGCAGTCCGGGGAGCCTTGGCCTAATTGGCTGTTCTGACTATAAGAGGTTTGCAAGCCTAGATGAAGATCAGAGATTTACAACCGTGTCATTTCAGTAAATTTATTGAAGGTTTTTGAAATTTTTTTGTTTTTCTTAAATATGTCTATATTTACTTTTAGTACTTAAACTAAACTTGGCAACCAGCTGAAATAAAAATAGTTTTTTTAATGTCTTATTTCAGTTCATGTTTATTATATTTCAAGTAGTGCTGTCAAACGATTAATCGTGATTAATCGCATCCAAAATAAAAGTTTTTGTTTGCAGAAATATGTGTGTGTTTTGTCTTCGGTGTATATTTATTATGTATATATTAATACACACACATACATATATATTTTGAAAATATTTACATGTATTTACATGTCTATATTTATATTCATATAATTTATATTATAAATAAATACATTTAACATATAAAAATAACATATTTCTCTGAAATATATACATGCATGTGTGTGTATTTATAAATACACATAATAAATATTCACAGTACACATACATATATTATGTAAGCAATTTTTGATTAATCGTGATTATTCATTTGACAGCACTAATTTCAAGTAATGAAAATATTTCTTATGGTTTTAGTTTTAATTCATTCAGTTTATACACTAGTGGGCAAAAGTTTGGAAGGAACATTTATTTATGTTTCTGAAAGAAGTCTCTTATGCTCTCTAAGTTAATTAAAATACAATAAAAACAGTAATATTGTGAATTATTATTTCAATTTAAAATAGCTGTTTTCTATTTTAATATATTTTTAAATGGCATTATTCCTGTGATGGTAAAGCTGAATTTTCAGCAGCCATTACTCTGGTCTTCGTCTAATATAATTGGTGCTCAATTATTATTAATTATTGTCCTTATTATCATCAAAGTTTTGATGCTTAATAATTTTGTGGAAACTGCAATACATTTTTTTCAGGATTAGTTGTTGAATAGAAAGTTCAAAAGAACAGCATTTATTTAAAATAGAAATCTTTTGTAACTCTGTTCATGTCTTTTCTGTCACTTTTGATCAATTTAATGTCTTTGCTGAATAAAAGCACAAATAAATCTAAATCTTATTAACCCCAAACTTTTGAATGGTAGTGTATCACAGATTCAACAAAAAATTAAGCAGCAAAAACAGTTTTTACCATTGATAATAATAAGAAATATTACTTGAGCACCAAATCAGCACACAATAGAATGATTTTTAAAGGATCATGTAACACTGAAGAATGGAGTAATGATGCTGAAAATGTATAATGTATATTTTTTATATATTACAATAGAAAACAGTTATTTTAAATTGCAATATTTCACAATACCAATTATTAATTTACTATTTTGAATCAAATAAATATAACCATGGTGAAAATAATAAACTAATAGACATACTAGGCTTATCAAAAACATGAAAAATTTATTTTGACCAGTATCCTACATCAATAACCCACTGACAAATCCACTCTTTTGACTGGTTTATCCAATCTATACAATATTTCTCAAAACGAGTATACTCTACTGAAAGGATCGGCACAGACCAGCATGAATTTCTATCCAGGCTCGTTTGTGCTGATTAGGTGTTGGTCTATCTAGTGACATTTTTGTTCATCAGCAAAGCCAGTCTAGCAGCTGTACAACTACACAACGAAGACTTCCGATGTGCTTCACTAGGCAAATGAAGCTCTTAAATCTTCAAGTGGAGATGGAAGTTGAATTTTATAAAAAACAATCTGCTGTAATTAACCACTCCACTGGACTTTCACACCTTCAGATGTATCTGTGAGAGATAACGACCTTGAACAAGAACGAGGCGTATTCTGCAGCATCTAAGAGCGTGAGATAAAAACAGTTTTTATACTGAAAGAAGGCACTACGTTGTGTTGCTGTTAGTGACGTGAATGTCAGTCTGCCTGACACAATCAGAGATACGCATACAATTAATTCTGCAATTTAGATGAATTAGCCAGAGGTTTCAGCCTTTCTCCCACACATGATTTCATGGCAAACAGGATACAATAGATTCGCCTACCCAAAATTGCATACCCAATTACCCAACTCTTGGAGCATAATTACTGAATCTACTGACAAACCTTGTGAAGGCTTGTACTGACATTGTACTGCATGCTCATTAGTGTATAATAGTTTTAAGAGCTGTAGGGCATGTATAACCACGCAACCTTGTGAGACTGACATTCACAACCAGAGCTTTCAATGGAACTCATCTGACCACAATCTAATCAGAAATTTGAATCAAAACCTGAGCGGACAAACTTTGATCTCTGCCTTCAAACTATCATCTGACTGTGAAGTTGAATCATCAGACTTTCCAGTCAGTATTGATAGGCATATACTGACCAGTTTGATTAATTAGGCAATATTTGGCCATTGTGAGATAATTGCATCAGCTGATAACCATACTTACTTGATACAATGTTAGCTTTGCTGGCAAAAAAAAATTATGTGGGTAATAATTTTGGGGGTAAAAATTATCATCATTTTTTATTATCAAAAATTATGATTTTTCAATTAATTGTGATACTCATCCTGAATGATCTTGATAGCACTTCTTAAAATCCCCAAAACTTAGAACTGCCTTTTTCATTTCCTGAATGAATATGTATTTGTACATCACTTTTTGTTCAGCAGAATTTGAATCTTCAACACCATGGGGGAAAAAAAAGAGTGTGAATATGAGTTTGCAGTTGTACTGATGTGAAACAAGAAAAGGACATTTTCTATTGTGAAATTATGGCAAGAACAGTATTCGTGGGCTGCAAGCAAAAACAATGCAACCAGTGTAAAACCCGGTTGTTTTAAGTGAATCAAAAATATACAGTGAAGCCTGATTCCTCAGACGAATGACTCTTTCATGTCGGCCCTTTTCATGAATTTCAAAAATGAACCAGTCTGAAAGAATTAAATGCTGTAGAATTTACAGCACTTGCAAAGAGATTTCATTAGTAAGCTGGACACAGACAATAAACCAAAATTAATCAAAATCTAGAGCTTGAGCATCAGAATCTCAAAACCCTGGTACAGTGTTAATACTAGTATGGTACGGATACGGAATGATTATTAAAATCAGATACTCTAGTATTTCCATGGTCCAAGGGGCTTAGTTATACTATTGTACTTCATGTTCAAAAGAATAAGCAAATAGCCCTACTCTGCCTTTATACTATGACTGAATGTTGAGTCAGTGTAACATTAGCATTGAAATGAAAGAGAACTCTCAAAGAACTTTCCTCACGTGTCAATCAGATACCAGCATTATAATAAAGCAAAGTGTGAACCGAACAAAGCTACACAGCTCACTGGTTTGGAACCACCATGCAGAATTCAGTCAGTTTGTCGAAATTCAGAATTCAGTCTAAATTTCTAATCACTTCATACATCTCCAAATTCGGCAATAGTTCATTCTGAAGGACCCGGAGTTAAAAGTGTAGTTTTCAAAGGTTTTACATCATGCATGATCTACAGAGAAATACGGCATAAATGGGGCAGTGGGGCACATCTGAGAAAGTCTCCCACAGAGCCAGAATGTGAGATTATCATCGGAGTAATCCTACAAAACACTAGAGCACACAAGCATAAAGATATGCGCACACACACACACACACACACACACACACACACACACACACACACACACACACACACACACACATTTACAGTCAATATCCATGCAGCTCCGGTTTCATGTGGATGTTTATTGCTGATGGAATTGAGACTGTAATACGATTTCGAAACAATATGCTATACAGGCCCTATATTAACGCACCTCAGCACTTTCAATTCACAAACTCATATTCGCACACAGCATCTTATAATCAGAGGGTTATGATTATTCGTGTAGGAGCAATTACTAGGATATTTTTTGCACTTCTTTGAGAACCAATTTGTGTCAGTCTCTCTGAGTTTATGTCCAGAGATATGTGAGGTTTTCTTTCTGTAGCTCTTATAATTGAGATTTTAACAGACAGCATACATTATGTCAGAGACTAAACTGTGAAATGCTTAATGAATTCTTCACAATTTTTTCAAAGTTTTGAAAATTCACCTCACGAGAGGATTTCCAGGAAAGAAATACCTTCTTAAGCCAGGGAAGATTTTATAATGCGAGCCAAACACACACCGGTAAGTGACAGCATTACTAATCCTTGTATAATATAGTGCATACACAACGCTAAGAAAGTTTCACACATATTCAAATCTCTGTCCTTAAATCCATAACTTTTCTAGAGTGGTGCAGAAATTGCGTTTGATAGAGTTCTGGCTTGGTCAGGATAAAAGAGAAAATCGTTTTATGGATTTAAACTTTATGGAAAAAACTTTTATGAATCAGAAAATTGTTGGTTGCTTCAAGCCAAAAAAGTTTGGGATTAGTAAGTTTTTTTTTATGTTTTAGAAGAAATCTATTATTCTCACATCTTATGCATTTTAATTAATATTTAATTAAAATACAGTACAAACAGTAATAGTGTGTAATGTAATTTATGCCTGTGATGGCAAAGCTGAATTTTCAGCAGCCATTACTGCAGTCTTCAGTGTCACATTATCCTTAAGTAATCATTCTAACATGCTGATTTGGTGCTCAATAAACTTTGTTTTACTATTGTCAAAACTGAAAAAGATTGTGCTGCTCAACATTTCAGTGGAAACCATAATACAATGTTTGATTAATAGAAAGTTCAAAAGAACTTTCAAAATCTTTTATAACATTATAAAATATGGATTCACAACAAAAAAATTAAACCTTACTGAACCCAAACCTATCACAAGTAGTAGAAAAACTCCTAACCTTAATAATAATAGGACAGTTTATGTGTGTAACCCACCTGTAAGGCTATCCGGTCTTGAAAGGACCATCCTCTCAAAGATGTCATATGCCCGAGACCCAAAGGAAGAGTGAGTGCTGTCATATGCACGTGTATCGTGCTTCCCCAGGGTCCCGTACTGCTGAGGCTGAGCAGTCATACTGGCCCGCAGGAGCGTTGGTGACCCAGACTCTGACCCCGTCCCATTTCCATGCCGTCCCACGTAGCTGGAGTGCACTGCGTCGAGAGCATGGCTGGAGGCCGGAGGCAAGGTGGTGCCAGGAAATATACTAGGTAAAGGACGGGGCTCTGAGACTATAGGTGAGCCATAGGGGCTTCCGAGGGAAGTACGCAGAGGCTGGCGAGATGCAGGCGGGGACGGGGTGTAGAGTGGGGACGGGGCACGAGAGGGAACAGAACTGACACGCCTCATGACACGGCCACTGCTGCCCACCTGAAAAACAGATTACATGCAATCAAACACTAGAAAGAACCAACATACACACTACACTGTGATAATACAGTTATAACTGAAATATTCAAATGGTATTTTATTTGTAAAAATACTGGAAGACGAATGATACATCAGGATTGAGATCAGCTAAGGACAAAAAAGGAAGGAAAACTTAAAAAACCCTTCTATGGGCTCCATGCACGGACACTTCCACATTTAGCCTCAAAATTAAATCTTGAGGACAAAGCAATTATGATATGATCCACTTTTACACAACAGGTATTTAAAACGTCAGGAACTCATTCATAATAAGTTTTAGCAGAATAAAACAATATGCATAATTGTGCGTAACATACTATAATTTACTAAATAACATTAAGAAATTAGTTATTATAATAAATTTCACAGACATAACATTAAACACTAAGTGTCTAGTTTTTTGCTTTCAAACGTGAAACATAGAGAGCTTTTATTTTGGCGGAAAACAGGAAGTCCTTATAGCTTTTAGTTTAGTTGACAAACAGATCCTCATGACTAATTTAGGAAGATTTGTGGTTCCAATGCACGTTATAAGCGACCCAAAATCACAGCTTTTGCATATGTGGAAGTCGTTTGGAACGGCACTTAACGTAGTGCGAACCGATCCGCTCTAAAAACACCGGATAGTCGCGTGTAGTCAAACACAGCGCCGCGCTTCACTCTGAAATATGTAGCGCGTCAGACTACATATTTCTGTAATTACAGTCTGTGAGATTTGATAATCGTACTAGATGGCGAGGAACATCGTGTATTTTTTTAGCAAACTCATTTGCCAGCATTGCCGCTGGGCAGTTAGACCCTGTCTGAGATGCAAAGGGTGTCCCGCACACAGCCGATAGATGGCGCCGCTAGCACTTGCAGCGCTGCCGGAAGCAGTCCATGCATGCAATACATTTGAAAACGCAGCACATTACAGTTTGTTTAGTGATTGTTTAAGTTCATTCCGACTTCTCAGGTCGGAAAAAAATAGCTGAAAAAATCCCTGATAAAACTGCACATATATACGACATCTGGAGAAGCCTTATAACCTATGCAAAGTTAAATTAAGCAATTTATCTCTTTATGTATTTGTGTTCATACCTGTGCTGAGGCCTGTCCTTCAGCCCTGGAACTCATGGCGAGGGTGGGGCTTCCACTGGGGGCGGAGCTTGTCGACTGGGACCTCCCTTCCGATCGTCTGGGCGTCACGATGTTACTATAGTAACCACTCACCTCCTGATATCCACTATCCGAATACGAATTCATTTGAGTCGAGCTGCGTGAGTTTGGCGCAGACCCTGAGCGAAGGAAACAGCAAGGCACACCAGAAAAATACTGAGATAGACAACATATTTGATGTTCAGAAATGGTCAAAACAAATTTATTTGAACTATGGATTTCTAGGTTAAATACAGCCCAAGCTCTATCAATAGCAACTGTGGCCTGATGTCGATTACTTAATGACGACCCGTCTTTCACTTTTACATTCGTACTATCGACAATGAACATAAACAGGTTTTAATACCAGTTTTACTGCAATATCAATAATTGGTGCGATTGATCGTTCATGTGCAAGCTGTATTATATAAACAGTTGTTTATGTCTCATATTAATCTAGACAGGACAAAAAAACACGTTAGCATCGCTTGCATATTTTAAGTAGATAGCACTCTGTTTTTAGAGGCTGCACTGCCATCTATCGACGTAAGTTAGTTCAGTACGATCGTCTCTCAGTTGTATGTAAATTAAATTAAAAAGCGGTCCACACAATAATTCCCTTACCTGTCCAAAAACATCACATCCGTCATAAAATCACCTGTACCTACGTTTGCGGTCGTTTTTGTCCTTGTCGGTCTTTCTGGCTTCGGTCGTAATTTACAGGTAACGTACTGAACCTCTCGTGTTCCATTGTCTAAATTTCGCTTTTGCGTCACCAAACACTACGCTACCAAGCGTATATACAGCCAATGAGCGTGAGGATAGGTTATTTCAACATGGCGAACACTGAGAGGGGTGACCCGCACCATGTATAATTAAAGGGGTCATATGATGCTTTTTTAAAGATCATTATTTTGTGTATTTGGTGTAACAGAAACAGCTTTAATGTTCAAAAAACACATTATTTTTTAAAATACTGTACATTATTGTAGGTCCTCTATGCCCCGCCTCTCTCAAACGCTTCGTTTTCTACAAAGTCCCTCCTTCCGACAAGCGCAGTCTGCTCTGATTGGCCAGCTGACCCAGTGCATTGTGATTGGCCGAACACCGCAAGCACTCGTCGGAAATGTAACGGCCCTTACCATAATCGCGAGCTTCATCTTTCAAAATAAATGTAAAGACAGAGCCCGAAAGGGGAACAGAGTCGCGTGACAGACACAGTGATGAAGCTGGTATGTGTTTGCAGTACACAAGCCACGGTTAAGACAGCTGACTCCACTGTGATGTGACCCTGTCTCTCTCTCTCTCTCTCTCTCTCTCTCACACACGCGTGCGCGCACACACGCGCACACACACACACACACACACACACACTTACTTAAACTAATAACAAAACAGTAGCTGATTCAGAAGCGCCAGATTGTCATAGCAAAGTCAGAATTACCTCCTCTCCTAGGTTCACGAAACGGTCGTCCATAAAATGCATTGCTGTTCTGTTGTAAGTAATCTTAAAGATTCCTAAATGCATCTACTTTCGGAAGGCCAAATAAAGTGCTTTTGCTTTCGCACTGAAACACACAGCGTCTCCCTGACATGCTGCTTCAACACTAACTGCGGTTACTGAAACCACGCCTTCTTTCTTTGCGTGAACATTTGGGCGGCATTATGCTAATATTTCCACATAGTGAGGTAGATATGTGGGGGCGTGTTAGAACGAGCCGTTTTAGGGGGGCGTGGCAGAGTCTTAACTTTGATAAAGAATATCTCTTTGGTTTTGAGACTTTAGTCTTTGCAACTTCAGGGATCTTATCTATGCACAATCAGCTTGTAACACTCCAAAGAGAAAGGAAAACTTGAAATCGCATCATATGACCCCTTTAAAACACTTTTTATATAAAGTTATTATGAGTACAGTGAGTGTACACCACTGAAATGACAAAAACACTTTTTTTTCTTAATATGTTCCCATTTTAAAATGAGAACCAGGCTACTTAATGCTCCTTTAAAATGTAATCAAACATTAATATTTGCTGGAAAAAGAGGACAACATTCACTGCTTTTAATGTATTTATTTAATGTATTTATAATGTACTTTGATACTGACTGTTTAGTTGAATAATTATTTGAAACGCTTGAAAAGTAATGTTTACCTAATTGAAAATTAACTGAAGGCTGCATGCTATTGTTTTATTTTGATTGGTTTATAATGATATTAATATTGAATTATTTAGTATGCTCAGTGAGAGTTATTATATTTACAGGTACTGGTATCATCTACTTACATCTTGGCACTGTAAAAGCCCTAATATACACAGTAAATCTCTTAAAGTAGAAGCCTACCAGGCTAGCTGTAGATCACATTAAGTATAACCAGCACCTTAACACCAGAAGTGTTTTCTGACCAAAAGCAGCAGTACCATAGTGCAAAGATGCCATGGTATTGGATGTAATAGTATTTATACAGTACTCCAGTCCAAAGTATTAAAAAAGTGGGTGAAAAAATATTTATTTATTTCAAAGTTCCAATCATTCAACCAGCTAAAAATGAACCTGGTATTTGCTTGCTACACTTTGTGCACACAGTAATAAAAAGACATAACTTCTGTACATGTGAAAGTACTGTTTGCATAGAGCCATCTTCATTAACTAGTATTACATCAGAAAAACATAACCAGACTTTCATCGACCTATAAAAGCGGTCTGCTTCAAAAGGATTACAAAATGTAATTAGCTTATGAAATGCAAGTGCATCCCAGCTAGGTTTCCAATGTAGGTGTATAAAGACTTTTTACTGTTACAAGGAAGCATTAAATGCGTCTAAAAATGACAGTGAGGACATTTACAATGTTACAAAAGATTTGTATTTCAAATAAATGTTGTTCTTTTGAACTTTAATAACAAATCAGCATATTAGAAAGATTTATGAAGAATCATGTGGCACTGAAGACTATATG